CAAGTGGGCCTGTAGACAGTGGCTTGGCAAATTTGCATACTTGTCTTATCCTTAAGAGCACTTTCTTTTCTAACTGCCTGTCTACTGGTTCTCATTAATTCAAACCACATGGACATTTGTCAGTTTCTAAACAGCATTCTTACTCATTCTCTCTCTCTCCCTCCCTCCTTCCTTTCTTCCCTCCTACACAGGCACACATACATATATATGTGTGTATATATTTAATTGATTAGTTGTAAATGGTGTCTCTTTATATAGCCCAGGCCAATCAAGCCTCCAGTAAGTTCCTACAGCTCAACAACTTCCACTTCCTGAACAGGGCTCCAAGACAGTCAATCCCATTTATACCTTACAGTGTAAAATCACAAGGTCCAAAGACTCATAAAAGCTTAAATAACTCTGAGTGCTGGTGTCTCACATATGTAATCCTAGCTACTCAGGAGACTGAGATATGAGGACCATGGTTTGTAGCCAGCTGCGACAGGAAAACCTACAACATTCTTATATCCAGGAAGTGGTGCTATGGATCAAAGGTAGAGTGCTAGCCTTGAGCAGAGGGGAAAATAGCTAGGCCCTGAGTTCAAGTCCTAGGACCAGCACCAAAAAATAAATGGCTTCAGTACCAAGAATGAAGTAAATGGATCCTTCTAGTTATATGTTGCATGAAGTATAAAAATAAAAAGTAGGGTTTTCCTCTCCCCACAAATCCTGACCCTTTAAAGTCCTAATTATATGGTAGTCAATCCCCTGGGCTTGTCTCCACTTAGATTTAATTATAGACAAAGAAGTCCTTGCGAATAGTTTGCTGTTTCTTGTGTGCTAGGAATACCTGAAATCCAAAAACACATCACAAAAATGATTGAGTCTGCATTGCTTTTCCTTGGATCCTGGCTGCTCTTAGATTTCTTTTCCCCCAGCCCCTTCCTTCCCATGTGGCTTTTCCAACTGCAACACACACTGTGGCTGCACTAGCTCCTTTAATCCATAGATTTAACCCTATACCAGAATAAGGAGCTTGGTAAAGAGTTATGCCAAGAGAAAACTTTTGTTGGGGTCAAATTCTGAGTAGCAGCTGGAGGATGAAACATCTTTACTGACAATTATTTCCTTATTGCAGAAAGAAGCCATTTTCATTTCTCTTGAGGATGAGGCTTCAAGGCTTACCACTGCTAGCTTCTCAAAGCCTTGAGCACATCCATGCTCTGGTTTGCATATCTGTCAAACATGGATGCCCAGAGTTCCAGGCTAAGCTTCTTCATTCCACTGGTGTTCACGTGGCCTGTGGGTCATGACCAACTATTCAATAGTCTCCCAATGTTCATCTAGACAACGGACTTGAACTGTTGTTGACATTTCTTGGATAACTTCTTCCATGCTTTCTGCCTTGTGCTTTTTAAAATAATTTCTGGAATGCTACTTGAGAAAACTTTTGTTGTAAGCTTTTTGGAGCCCTTTTGACTGTGGTATTTAAAGAGGCCTTCCAGCCAGGCACTAGTGGCCATACGCCTAAAACCCTGGCTACTCACGAGGCTGATACCTGGAGGATTGAATTTCAAACTCAGCACAAGCAAAAAAGTCTGTGTCTCCACAAAAGGCAAATTGCAGGGCTGGAGGCATGGCTCAAGTGGTAGAGCACCAGCTGATCAAGCAAGATGAACTCTGGATGTGAAGCCTTGAGTTCAAACCCTAGTACTAGCCAAAAAGATAAAATACAATATAAAACAAAATGGCATTCTTCTACTTGCAAAATAGTATTTCAAAAAGAATTGTGCTCTATCAACCCCTTCTTTGCAGTGGACTCACTCTCTGGTTCAAAGTCCAGTGTTTATTGAGAGACTACTTGTGGATATTTGTTAACAAAGCTATCTCCACAGAAAGTGTCCTTTATTTGAAACATAGGCTGCAGCTGATGACCCCACATAGAAGTTCTTGTCTTTGGGCAGTTGTCTTATAATACCAATACTAATATTAATCATAAACTGTAACTTAAGAGGAACAAATTATTCCATAGTTCTTTTTTTTTGGGGGGGGGGGTCAGTCGTAGGGCTTGAACTCTGGGCCTGGGCGCTATCCCTGCACCTTTCCCCTCAAGGCGAGAGCTTTACCACTTGAGCCCCAGCACCACTTCGAGTTTTCTGGTGATTTATTGGAGATAAGAGTCTAACGGACTTTCCTGCCTGGGCTGGCTTTGAATTGTGATCCTCAGATCTCAGTCTTCTGAGTAGCTAGGATTACAGGCCTGAGCCACTGATGCCCAGCTCCATAGTTCTAACACTTTTCTCCGTACTTTGGTTAACTATAGAGCTAACCTCTGTAGCATAGCTATCAATAATCTACAAAAATAGAAATCAGTCAGGCGCCAGTGGCTCTTGCCTATAATTCTAGCTACTCCAGAGGCTGAGCTCTGAGGATCATGGTTCAAAGCCAGCCTATGCAGAAAAGTCCATGAGACTCTTATCACCAATAAACCACTAGAAAACCAGAAATGGCACTGTGGCTCAAGTGGTAGAGCACTAGACTGAGCTGAAGAGCACAAGGACAGTGCCCAGACCCAGAGTTCAAGTCCCACCACCGACAAAATAAATAAATAAATAAATAAATAGAAATTAGGCATGGTGGTACAGGTCTATAATCCCAGCACTGGGGAGACTGAGGCAAATGTTTCTGAGTTTCAAAGACCACCCAGACCACATAGTAAAGCCTTGTCTCAAAATAAACAAAAAAAAATAGAAAGCATATACACACACACACACATACACACACATACACACACACACACACACACACACACACACACACACACACAGAGTAAGCATATGATAGAACACACATGAAAAATCTGAGATCCCCACAAGTTCCATTTTGCTAAGCTCAAATTTCTGTCTTAGAAAATAAAGTCTATACCTCTTATCATTGTTCCAGTAAGTTTTTTATTTTTGGCAATCATGAGATTTGAACTCATGACCTTGGTAGGCATGTGCTCTAAAAGTGCTTGGAGACATCCATGCCTCCCCGTTGAGCAACTCTAATTTGTCCTCTTCAGAGGGCCTGCTTATGGCCACTGCACTGGAATTTTCCAGAAATCAGATTGCCCAAGATCTCACTTCACTTCAACAAACTTTACTTCCCAGTCCTTCAGCTACTGGGCTTAACATTTCCTCTAAGTTCCCTACTTCCAAAATACTTGAGTCAGCATCGTATCCATCATGTCATTCTCTTATTTTTTATAGTGTTCTCACTTCCCTTCTTCCCTAAACCTTTCCTTCTTTACTATGAATGCTTCCTTTTCCAACAGTCCTGAAATCCAGGATATGTTACTTCAGTCATTCTTTACAAGATTCCTTAACTTCATGTCTCTAATAAATATATCCTTCCAGTCCAAGCCCTGAACATCTCAGCCATGACTAGTTTCACAGTCTGGCTCCTGTGCCCCTGACTTGGTGGTACCATTATGGATTAACAGAGGAAGTACTCATGGACAGGTGGTGTCACTGGGAAATCTGTCCCTCACACTCTCTTCCTGTTTCTCTAAACCTTCACTATTCTCCTTGTGCTTCCTAATTGTTCCCTTTCATGTTAATAATAGGTGACCTACAACAAGAGCATGTTCAAGCAATCCATTTCCCCATCACATCATGACCCTGCTCCACTTCACACACCTGCAAACCATCTCTCTCCCATCCCCAACTACGTGCCAACACTTTCAGAAGAATGACAATTAGTCTTCCACATCCAAAGTCAAATCCCACCCCCCCGCCCAATTTCCTGACTTCAACCTCTCCCTCTCTAATGGTTCCTTCCCTGGCTCCAGTAAACTTACTTACATTTCCTCCATTGTCAAAACAAACAGGGAGCCGAAAATTTGACCCTGTGTCCTCTTTCAAGACCTGACCCTTCCATTTATTTCCAAATTGAACTTGCTAGCTCCACTTCCTTCTTTCTCATTTACTCTTCTTGTATTGCTATGCATATGGCCACAAAAAATGTTAATATAAATACCCAAATAGCCCTTGGCAGAAAAAAAATGTTTTCCCAACATCCCTGGTTTAAATAATATGGATAGTGCTAGGCATGGTGGACCAATCTGTAATCACAGCTTCTTAGGAGAAGGCAAGAAGACTCATGGTACAAAGCCATCTTTGACAGGAGTTAGCAAGAACCCCAGCTCAAGGCATAGGCCAGACATGTTGTCATGCATTTGTAACCACAGCGACTTTGGAGGTCTAGGTAGGTCATTCAGAGGCTGTTCCCAACCAAAGATGTAAGACCGTTTCTTAAAAGAAACAACAACAAAAAACTAAACTAAAATGGCTGGGGACATGACTCCAGTGATAGTTCTGCCTAGAAAACAAAGCCCTGAGTTCAAACCTTAGTGCTCATCAAAAACAAGATAAAATGATATAAATAGGCTTTTGTGTGGGATTAACTAGAACTCTTCAAATAGTTTGTTCAGCCATCAGATGTCCCCAGAATGAAGCCTGAGATTTGAAATAAAAATCACGTTTTAGAATGCTTGCGCGTGCATGCACACACACACACACACACCATGTACACACACACACATACACCTGTGACAGAAATCGATCTTCATCATGCACAAGACATATTTTAGGCAAGCCCTGATTGTCTCCTCAGCACAAGATTGGGGATGCAGCCTTGGGCTGGTCCCCCACTTTCCTGCTACCTCAGGATCTATCATCCCTACCCACAAAATCCCTCCACTTATTCCAGCCCCACTGAAGAATGAAAGGAAAGGGCTAGAAGTATATAGCTCGTACCTGAAAAGCCAGCACCCCATGCTGATGCTGTGGGTTGATGGCGGCCTCGTTCTGCTTCGTCTCTGATCCTTACACTGGAGAAGGGACGGGCTGCTTCTGAGCTTCCCTTGCACTCTCGCGTGGCTCCAATTCCACTGGTGGGAAATGGCCTAGCGTTCACACCCACGACAAGGTGACCACAGTGAAGGAACCGTGTGTGACTCTCCTGTTCCCTGCTTGCAGCCCGCCGCCTCCCCCGAGGACACCCCAGAACTCAGCGCCTTCTTGCGAAACTCTACCATCCCTCATCTCATCCGGAAGCGGGAGGTGCCCTCAGCCCCGCTCCACAGACAGAGCCCCGCCAAGGTCCTGGTGAGTGGTCCCCATGGGCACAGAACCCGGGGTGAACAATGGCATGCGATGCAATACCCGCGCCACAACCATGGTGCGCACTTCAAGCTGGCTTTTCGGTCTCTTCTGATGCCCAGATCTGCCTGAGAATTTGGGAGGGGGACACATGGCAAGAAAGGAAAATGGATGTCCAATGAGGATTGAGGAGCGTTTGTGGTGATGACCCTTTTGGCTCCCCTTAAATCATGGATGGCGGCTACTTCAGACAATGAGAGGTGAAAACACCAAGTGTGGTATTAGCCCATTTCTGAAGCCTAAAGGACTAGTTGGTCAGCCACCACAGGCCCTGAGCCAGTGGCTTTGAAGAGAACTCAATGCCTTATGCTTTGGAGTCGCATCACTGGCTACTTTGGGTGTTGGTTATTTTCAAGGAGGGTCTCGCTTTATGTTTTTATCCTGGTCTGGACTGTGATCCTCCTATTTCTGTTTCTCCATGTCACTGGGGATGGGCAGGCACACACCACTTGAACCCAGCCATTGGTTGAAATGGAGTTTCCAAAACCTTCTTTTAGCCTAGATTGGCCTTGATCCCCCAATCTTTACCTCCCGAGACATTTTTAACTTCTAGATATCCCAGAAATGTACCTGGCTGTTCAAGGTAATACTTGATTTCCACCTCTGATTTTTTAACTGCTGTTTTATCTTCTTTTCCTCTTAATGGCTCAAAAACTCCAATCCCTACACCCTCTCCCTACCTCCTACATCTTGGAGTCAAGGCAGCTCTGGGATAGGGAATGATTATGCAAAGTTATTCTGAAAGCCAAAGCTTAGTAAGACCTCCCACAGTTTGATTGAAAACAACCTAGTGAATCACATTACTGATTAGGAATTTGGAAGTGCCAAATGCCAGCATCCTGTTTGGAGATCATAATTCTCAATTTGCATCTCTAACATGGAAGTATAATTCTCCTCCATCTAAGAACATCCCTGGCCTTCCTCATCTTGGGTCCCTGCTGGCTTCCTCATTGTCGACCCCATGTCCTTCCTCCTCTCCAAACGATTCAGTGTCCCCTTTCCCTGCTCAGCTTACAGTGACCTTGTCTTTCTTGACTTCTCTTCAGCATTTGATACTGTTGGCCTCATCCTCAAGCTATTTGCATCCCCTGGCTTCCCCACAAACTTTCTCGCCTACCTTGGACAATCCATGTCTTAGAATTTCTCATGGGCAGCTCTTCTATCTGCAGCCTTCTCTCCTTTCTCCTTTCTTTTCTCTTCTCCTCTCCTTTCCTCGCCTCTCCTCTTTCTTCTCTTTCCCTCCCTTCTCCCCTCTCCTCCTTTGCCCTCTCCTCGCCCCTCCCCTCTCTCCTTTCTTCCTTTCTTCCCATTTTATCCCTTCTCACCTCTCTTCTCTTTCTCCTCCCCTCTCCTCCCTTTTCTTTCTCTTCTCCTCTGTCTTCTCCTTTCGCCTTCCTCCTTTCCCCTCTTCTCTCCTCTTCTCATCTCTCCTCCCCTCTTCCCCTTTCTCCTCTTCTCTCTTCCCTTTCCTCCTCTCCTTTCTTCTCTCTTCTCATCTCTCTTCTCCACTTATCTCATCCCTCCTTTTCTCGTCTCTCCTTACTTCACCTAATCTCTCCACTCCTCTCCCATCAATTTTACTCTTTCAAGAAAACTTCTTGTATGACTCTCTCTCCAGCACAATTAGAAAAGCATTTTCTGTGCAAAACAACTTATCTGGATTCTGATGTTTCCATACCAGAATCAGAAAATAGGATTTGGTAGGTCGAATGTCATCCTAATGAATTCTTTCCAGTAATTCATGTAGTTCATGAATTAAAAGTTACCTGACACAAAGGAAAACCGCTGGACAGTTTAAGAACAGCTGACTGCAGTACTCTCAGAAGGACTTGTTCTACAACAGGAAGGAGGCTGACATAGAAAGGAATATTTTGGAACTAATGTTTCTACCTGGGTCACCAACTTTGAGTCACCGAGGTTACACAGACTCTGGGGTTTCTGCTGCAGACCTGCTCAATTCAGCAACAGACGTGGTTACTGTCTGTAAGAAGTGTCTTCCAATGAAGCAGAAAGGCCAGTAGCTCCTGAAGGAAGATGATTTGAGTCCTAAGGAAGGCACTTATATGAATCCAGGCACATGCTGGATTTAAGATCTATTCATCATCACTAAGCTATGCTTTTGATTAGGTTGTTCATTTGTTTGTTTTGGATTTTTTTGTTGGCACTAGAGTTTTGAACTCAGCTCTTGGCACTTGCTTAGAAAGTGCTCTACCATTTAAGCCATGCTCACCCCCCTACACACACACACACACACACACACACACACATACACATACACACAATTCTTTTTTTTGGGGGGGTCTGATCGTGGGGCTTGAACTCTTGGCCTGGGCGCTGTCCCTCAGCTCTTCAGCTCAAGGCTAGCGCTCCACCACTTGAGCCACAGCACCACTTCTGGCTTTTTTCTTTTTGCTTATGTGGTACTGAGGAATGGAACCCAGGACCTCATGCATGCAAGGCAAGCGCTCTACCACTGAGCCACCTTCCCAGCCCACACAATTCTTTTGCTTTTAGTCTGCTCTTCGGATAGGGTCTCTAGCTTTTTGCCCAGGCCAATCTAGCAATTACAAGCAGGAATTACAAGCAAGAAACCCCATGCCCAGCTTAATTTATTCTTCCTTTACATTAAATAAACTATATCAAACTTGCATATAAGGCACTGACTTCTGAAGAAACAAAGCATAAATAAACTGACTTCCTTTTTATTCCCTGGGACTGTTTGAAGACCCTGACTTGTGGCCACTGTTGTTCTGTTTTTCAGAACTGCACAAATATCGAGTGTTTGCAAATCTCTTGTTCAGTGGGACGACTAGGAGGAGGAGAAAGTGCAGTCCTAAAGATCAGATCTCGACTCTGGGCCCATACCTTCCTCCAGGTAAGAAGGATTGCACGCACCACACGCTGCTCACCCAGAACCTCTTCTCAAAAGCTCAGCCAGAAGCCATTTATTTACTCATTCACTTAATTACTTACTGAAGCAGTATTGGAGTTTCACTTCAAGGCCGCACACTTGCTAAGCAGGTGCTCTACCATTTGAGCCAGGCCCCCAGCCCATTTTGCTTTGGTTGTGTTTTTTTTAGCTTTTGGCTGGGGTCAACTTTGTACCATTATCTTCCTACCTCTTTCTCCCATAGAGAAAGTCCCATAACTGGGACTACAGGTATGAGCCACCTCATGTGGCATTGGTTTTCATTGAAAATTTTTCATTTTGCATTTTGCATTGTTATACCCTTTTTGTGTGTGACCGTACTAAAGCTTGAACTCAGGGCCTGTCCCTTAGCATTTTTGCTCAAGGCTGGCACTCTACCATTTGAGCCCAGCTCCACTACAGCTTTAAGAAGAAATGAGTTAGAAGTAGTAACATATTAGATGTATTGGCATAGATGCATCTCAGCACCAACATAATATTAAGCTTAAAACTTAAGTATGAGCCAAGTAAGTGTTGCCTGTTTGATGCAGAGCTCAAAAGTAAAGCCTATTAAAAAATAAAGCAAGTACTGAACTAAACTATACTAAGCAGTACATTGGGAAGACTTGAGAAACATAAAACTCCGGAGAGCAATGTGTAGGCTTTGTGGGTAGAGGCTATTCAAGGAGGAACACACGGACTGTTTTAATGGTATAAGGAATTTTTCATAGCCAGCGTGGGGCACACATAGGCTCACCTTGAATTCTCTCCTGCTTCACCAGAGGTCATAAATAGTCAATGAAATAGCTTTTAAAAGGCAATATTGGAGCGGTGGGGGAATTAAGATGGCTCTCAGGGGAAATGATGGTGGATTGGCTATACTGGGCAGAGCGGCAGAGCAAGTAAGATGAGCCTCAAATAAAAAGCCAATGATACTTGCCAAATTCATAGTGAGAGAATAATGGAGATTGAGAGGTGACTCCTCCATTTTTCACCCAAGCTAAATGGTAGCAATGACTTGGGAGAAAGGAAACCAAGAGCCACACACTGTCTTTGGTGATTGCAGTTAGGGCTGCAAGCGAAAGTTTCAAAACGACGATCATTCACCCGCTCACTGAGGGTCAGCAATGTGGCCAGAGTTTAACGGGACTCGAATTCAATGCCACCTAGCTGGGTAAGAGAGTGGAGATGTCACTGGGGGTTGAGGCCTTCTGAAGACTTGCCTGGGGCTATGGGAGATGCTTGGGGACCCTGATGGATACTTGTTGCCCTGTCACCCAGGACACAAGAGCATCCTTCTGACCTGCTTTCGCAAGCAAGTGAGTCAGGAGAAAGCAAAACTTCTACGTCTTTAATGACCTAGCCTTGGAAGTCACATTTTTCCCTTTCCACAGCAGCCTCCGGTTCGTACATATTGGGCCTCCTTCTATGGGAGGGGTCCAGACAAGGCTGTGAACACCCAGAGGTGAGACTCACCAGAGACCACCTTTGAGGCTCACTACCACAGACACAATTGCCAAGTCTCTAATTTCCTAGGGAGGAGGAAATAAAGCTGGGGGGAATGAACTATGGTTATCTTACAGCAACAGCAGTGTATTCTCTCGCCATTCCAGTGAGAAGTCAGTGGTATCACATTCTGGAGGTTCTGAGGTGGAAGCAAGCCAGTCCATTCCTTCTTCCATGATTGACATGGTTTTGGGCCATGCTTGGCATTCATTGGCTTGTGGACCCATCACTCTAACCTTTGTGGCCATCCTCCCTTTACCTCCTTCTACATGTCCTTATGCCTTCTTTTCTGTCTCATTCTGCTTAGATTTAGAGCCTGCCCTAATCAAGATAATCCCAGTGAAAATTTCATCTTACTTATCTATGCAGAGATCCTTATTCACTAGGAGAATCTAAATGTCCATGCATTTTTAGGAGGACTCTTTAATCAACTACCAGCAACAGCCTTCTATCTTTACTAGCAAGCCCTGATACTCCATTTTACCACCTCACTGTACTCATTTCTCTTTTTTTTCTTTTTTTGGTCAGTTGGGGGCTCGAACTCTGGGCTTGGGCACTGTCCCTCAGCTCTTCAACTCAAGGCTGGCCCTCTACCACTTGAGCCATAGCACCACTTCCGGTTTTCTGAGTAGTTTATTGGAGATAAGAGTTTCACGGACTTTCCTGCCTGGGCTGGATTTGAACCACAATCATCAGATCTCAGCCTCTGGAGTAGCTAAGATTACAGGTGTGAGCCACTGGCACCAGATTGTACTTATTTCTTCAATCTCATAAATTGCTCCTCACAATACACCACTAACTTTAGTGTGGGGGAGGTAATTAGGGTTTAAGGCATTTTTTCTGTTATGACCATTTCATTTCTGTTAACTATAGGCTTTTTTCGTCTATTCTCAGACATATAGTTAGTAATCTTGGGAAAAAACTTTAATCAGAATACTCACTGTAGATTCTTTTACATGTTTTGATGACAACTGGCAACAGTATTTTGTGAACATATGGGCAATAATGTTTATGAATTGTATATACATACATTTGAGAAAACTACCTGTAAGCTAAGTGATGTGAAAGACAGACCAAACTTACACGAGAATCAGCCGCAGGGAATGCTGGCTTGATGAAAATTAAACAGGACCTGATTTTGTTGTCTGTGGTGGATCATAGATCCGTAGGCCCAAGCTTGATTCTGTTCCTGACTGAATGTGTTCAAGGCACTTAGCTTTCCTTGCACTCACTTCTCTTACTTGTGAGGTGAAGAGATTGAAGTAAAGGCTTTTTTCATTCCTGAAAACTTCCTGATCTATGGGGCAGTTCACATGGAGTCTCTCTGATTAAGTTATTTATGATGTTTACTCTACTTAGTTGAAGTCAGTCATAACTCCATGTGCTGTATTAAGAACCTCCTTTTGTATTGTGTTGACACTTTGGTTGAACTCAGAACAGACTCTAGCTAACTGCCTCTCTAAATGGAAGGAACAGCCAGCCACCCCTTTCTAAGAGGCCCATCGGTCTGCAAACAGCCAGATTTCTAGGGAGTGTTAAACACCAGGACAAATGCTTGTATATGAATCACCTTATAGCAGTCCTGTGGGATATAGATGATAATTGTCAACTGCATTTACACATGAGTAAAGTCAGACATACAGGTTAAGTGGCTGTTCCAAAGAGGAATCAGAGAGCATCCTGTGTATATCACTGTGCTATGTATGCTGAACTTGAAACCACTGTGGGATAATTACTCATTGTAGACTTTATATCACCTTTAGTAAGCTATGGATTGCCAAACTATAACCACTATATTATAGGCTACTATGTAGTATCTACTGATAAATATCTTCTTAATAGAATGCATTGAAACTTTATGACTTTTTGAAGGAGCCACAAGTTGTGCTATTTTAGAATCCACTTTTTAAAACAAAGGATCAAGAAAAAAAATTAAAACATTATTTTGAATTGCACTGCCCCAAATGCTAGAATACTCATCTACGGTTATAAGTAAAACTAACCATTCATTTCCTGATTCCCCTAAACCCATTTCAAGTGTTCATAGCCACATACGCTAGGCAGATAATAATAAAAAAAAAAGAAATTAACATTCTCAAAAAAAGTCCTGTTGGACTGGACTATTTCAGGACTTTAAGGGAGTATATTTCCCTTCAAATGTTGCAGGATGAGCTCAGAGTGTGACATCTGTGAGTGAAGACTTGGATTGTCTTTTAAGATTAGCCATCTGACTTCCATTATGCCCCTCTGCTAAAATAAGAATGAAGCCCCTTTGGGCCTCATTAAGTGTCGTTTGCCACCTCAAAAAGGCAAGACATGTATCCAGAATCCACTTTTCACTAAGCCTTGTGTTTAGAGCCTCCCACTCTCCCAACAAAACAACAGTGACAGCAAGATGGTGTGCTACCAGGCCAAGCAACATCATGTGTTGGCTTCACTTCAAAGTTCAGATACAAGCATGAACCATGCAAGTCAACTTTTAGATTCAGAACTGCTAAGCAAATAAAGTACTGGAAGTCTGTTATATGGAGTGAAAACAGAAATCTTTGAGGGTTATGTTAAGAAGGTTTTTGGAAACGTTCTTAGCTGGGAAGGTTCTCGCAAATGTATCTACAGTAGACACCTAACTGTATGTTCCCCCTAAAGCAGGAAGAATGTGTATTTTGCTCTTATTTCTCCCATCCAACTTCTACAGCACCTGAACTAGGGGAGCCACTAAGGACTTTTTTTCCCACCCTTTGGTGCTAGTCTTGGGGCTTAAACTCTTTTGTTAAGGCTAGCACTCTACCATTTGAGCCACAGCTATACTTCCTTTTTTTTCTTTTTTTGGTCATGGGGCTTGAATTCTGAGCCTGGGTGCTGCCCCTGAGCTTTTCAGCTCAAGGCTAGTGCTCTATCACTTGAGCCACAGCGCCACTTCTGGTTTGCTGGTGGTTTAGTGAAGAGAAAGAGTTTCATGGACTTTCCCACCCTTGCTGGCTTTGAACTGAGATCCTCAGATCTAAGCCTCCTGAATAGCTAGGATTACAGGCATGAGCCAATGGCACCTGGCCTTTCAGGACATTTTTAATGAAGAAAACATCTAAGGTCAAGTACTAGTCTTACCTGGGCCTCAACTTCTTTTTTCCTTTTTAATGAAAATGGGACATTTTCTTTATTCTGCTATAAAGAGTGGAAGAAACTTTTGCTTTTGGAAAATAGACTTAAAGCAAACAACAGATTGATCTTTGGGTTGAAGACTTTACAAGCTATCTGCTTACCACCTGATTTGCTCAGGCCTCCTTCATTTGTGTCAGTTTGCATGGCTGAATGAGATCATGAAGGTGAAGGCCACCAATAAGCGCTTCATCGTGAACTACAGCCCTCTCCTATACAGCTGCCTTCCCTCACAACTTCCAGGGATCCTAATATAGCTGAAGAGAACAAATGTCCAATTCAATCATTGAAAAACTCAAACCTGTCAGAAAGTACTATTAAGTGGATAGTATGTGAGGTTTAGAGTGTCATTAAATAACCAAGCCATTAGCTGTAGTACTTTATCATCCATGTTTATAGTTAGCTAACCAGTATCAACTAGTGCATATTTCAAGGTTCTGCAGAAGATATAAACATCACACTCCATGGTATATGATGTCCATTTTTGCATCATCAAGTTGGGGAGAAAAGTATGTCATGGACTATTTGATAATACAGATATATTTAGTAAGCAATCCTGTTATTCTGCAAACAGTATGAAGTGTACTTATGTAGCATGCCACTAGGTGAAACAGTCAAATGGAATGGTTTCGTGCATGGAACCCATTGTTGACAGAAACACTGTTACACAGCCATGACTATAAGGCCGAAAAGCAGAATTTGATCAGCCCACTCACAGTAGAGGGAAGAAGCTATATCTTCCAGAGGTGGCAATGGTTCAAGTTTTGGGGAGGATTGCATCAGGCCATCGAGAGCCACAGGACGAGCAATATGGAAATATAAAAGCAAGTCTTCTCACTACAATTAATGTGCACTACTAAAGTTAAAACTTAAATATAAAAGTTTAGAAAAAAATTAGGCACCTGTGGCTCATGCCTGTAATCCTAGATACTCAGGAGGCTGAGATCTGAGGATCACGGTTCAAAGCCAGCCCGAGCAGGAAAGTCTGTGAGACTCTTTTTTTTTTTTGTCAGTCGTGGGCCTGAACTCTGGGCTTGGGTGCTTTCCCTCAGCTCTTCAGCTCAAGGCTAGAGCTCTACCACTTGAGCCATAGCTCCACTTCCAGTTTTTTCTGCTTATGTGATGCTGAGGAATCGAACCCAGGCCCTCATGCATACAAGGCAAGCACTCTACCACTGAGCCACCTTCCCAGCCCCTGTGAGACTCTTATCTCCAATAAACCACTAGAAAACCAGAAGTGGTGCTGTGGCTCAAGTGGTAGTACACTCACCTTGAGCTGAAGAGCTGAGGGACAGTGCCCAAGCCCAGAGTTCAAGCCCCATGACTGACCAAAAAAAAAAAAGTTTAGAAAAAGAAAACTAGAAAGCTAAACCACAATGTGAAACTTCTAAATATAAATATACACACACACCCCAAATATGGTCTCAGCTGAGACTTAACTAAATCAGAAACCCTGATTCTGGACCCCAGCTGTTTCTGAAGCTTAGCAAGGCCCAATGGTCTGTGGACCTCTGGAAGCAACAGTAAAGACTAGGGATGAACCAAAAATAGTATGCAGAATCCAGCATGGCCAACATTAAGAGGATAAAGGGAAGAGATGAAAGAAAATTTCCCAAAAGAAATGTATTACGCCACATTCTATATTCTACAGTTCAAATGCCATCTTGATACATGAAGACATTTTTAGGTTCATAAACACAGAATTAGTTAAGAGAAAAGTTTTCTATCTAGAATCAATATAGAGATGGAGTTCTCCTACAATTTGTTTGCCAAATATAATTTCTTCTAGTTTAGGGATAAGATTGTCTACCAATATATCACTGGAGATGGAGATAAATGAGAACTTCTTGATTGAAGGTTTGGAACACAGACATAGGCTTACATAGATAGTTATAATTATCCTATCTAGAATCTCATTGCTGGAGTTTCTCCTGTGTCCACCAATAAAGGTGGTAAATAAATTTGATTGGAATAACATAGTACACACAATTATTTTCTGAGCAAAAATTTCCAAACTTTATAAAACAATTTTTAAACAAACAAAAATCCAACAGTTGTAACAACTTGGCATTCAGAGATCTTGCTAAGCCTCCAACAATGCATGTCAGACACTTGTCCAACCCAAAAGGCTAAATAACATGGAAGCCAAGAGGCCCTGCTCTTGGCCTTCTACCAGTCATCTGTATATTTTTTAGCAGAAGATAACAGTAATTTTGTAACCCATCATGTCTCTCCTTTGTCATTCAATAGTAGTAATTATATTCATCTTTGTGTTTACTCCTTTTTAGGACCCTGCTTTTCTTTTTTTTTGTCTTAACCTTGTACATAAGTCTGTTATCAACAGGACAAATTTAGACATAGGAGGGGAATAGATGTCTGGATGAATAGATGGATGAGTGGATGGATTAATGTTTGGATAGATTGATGAATGGAGGGATGATGGATGGATGGATGGATCTATGGATAGGTGGCTAGATGATGGTTGGATGATGGATAGGGAGGTGGAGGGATGATGAATGGATGAAAGGAAAATGTAAACAAAAGGTGAAAGAAAGGAAGGAGGAAGTTTTGCTTTGGAAATGGACAGTGAAGAACTGGGTGACTACCGTTCAACCTATAAAAGCCTCCCAGAAAATAGTCAAATACCTGTTTTTACTTTCAGAGGAAAAACGACCCCTATGCTCTTGCGTCTCTAGTGTCCTTTGAAGTTAAGAAGATGCCTTATAAAGATCAGCCAGCAAAACTGCCAGAAGGAGGCATAGCCGTGAGTATCTTTCAGTTACAAATACGCACAAATATGCAACTGAAGGAACGTCTGAATCACTGTCCAGCTTGAGCTCTTAACTTAGATGTTTACCTGATTATAGAAAAGTCCCCCCACCCCTCACCTCACTATTACCTTTTTTTCAGTCTGGAAAAGTCTCATTGCCTGTTTGGTTCTTAAGCTTTCTATATAAATTTCTACTGAGAAAAATTAAAGGACAGGATTCCTACTCATCAACTTTTTTCAGTCAAGCCATTTTGTTTCTGAGAGGTCCAGGTAGCAATAGTGATTATAAGAAAATTGTAGTGATTCTTTAATGTTACAAACCCCTCACCTTGAATCCAGGGTCTGGTGCTTGCTAGGCAATCACTCTACCACTTGAGCCATGTCCCTAGCCTTCTACTTTCATTCTGATAACAATGTGGTGAATTGGGTTCTCCCTGAGGACAAGTTGACCACAAAGTAGCAAACTGACTTCAGAGAGTCGTTTCTTCTTTATCCAAAGATAGGACAACACAGAAAGAGCACAAAGAAAGAATTTCCATTGAATGAAATACTGTTTCTTATAACTGAGGTCCTTAAACAACACTGACACCCAAATAGTTATGACAGAACAACTTCTGACATCTTAAGCAGTGGGGTAAAGAAATGCAGAAGGGAGAAAGGCAGTGGTTAAGAGGGTATCCGCAGGTGCCATTACCCAAACTCTGCCTTCCTAGTTATGTGTGGAAGATAGAATGCTCTGAAAAGTAGTATTGACGCTTCAACCTTCATCACTATAGATACCTATAGATCTGTCTATCTAAATCTAGATCTCTATAGATAGATAGATAGATACAGAGATAGATAGATAGATAGATAGATAGATAGATAGATAGATAGATAGATAGATAGATAGATAGATAGTCCATGCTATGCCTTCATCACTAGTTTAGGGACTGAGTAAGGCTAGGCTGAGCCCTATACTGGACTTTGAAAGCCATACAGGTGAAGTCCCTGCAGTGATCGCTGTTGTGGACTTCAGCAGGGGTAAAGCACCTGAAGGAAAATCTGAGATTTCCAGAAGAGTCACCTGGGCTAGATTCTGAATCACCCTCATTCCTGTCAGAAACTTCAAGGAGTCACTTTGCTTCTCTGAGGCTAATCATGCCCCCGCCCCCAACTCCGCAGTGGAATTGCTAAGATGATAAATAGCTTTACCCCAGGATTATACCTGGAACAAGAAAGTCTCAAGTCTCAGCTAGCGGCAGTAAACTTCCCCAAATGTCTTACATTCTCTACCCACTGGAAATGACAATGAAGATTTGCACAAAGTCTATTAAAGCCAGAGTGGCCACATCTTTCTTGATTTAAATTATCTCTCTTTCTCTTCATGAGATGTCTACTTGTTGCCTGGATTTATGTTCAACCCAGAAAACAGAGGCTTTGGATTTTTCATACAGAGCGTTTGTCCAAAGAAGTTCAAAGCCTTGTCGCTCTAAAAGGAGATAAATCCAGGCCCTTTGTTTGCTCTGAGCACATGTTTCATAACAAAACACATGTTCCAGTCCTTTTGGTCAACAGGATTGCCATTTCTCTGTGCTGGCCACAGGTGACAACCTGATGTTCTCAACTCATCTCAAAACATGCAGGAGATGATCAAATGCATATTTCCTCTGCCCGAACAACCCCTGTGATGTATTGTAGAAAGAAAAAAAAAAAGACCTGTTCTGTTATCTGACATGGATGATTTACCATGCCATTTAAGTAGAGGTTATTGGAAAAACATTTAAGAAGGAAAAAGCTTTCAAGTCTCTCAATACCTGACTAAGTAGAGACAACCTTGCCAGTAAGGGCTGTGAGGAGTAGAAAACAGTGAATCTGGGGCTTGATTTGAGTCTGGATGGAGCCATAGAGTTTATAGCAAGTTCTCAAAGGTCCATGTCAGACTTCTCCCAAAAAGAGCCCTTTGCCAGGGTCATACCACCAGTGCCCTAGCTACCCAGGATCTCATCAGGAAACTCTGTGAGACTCTTAACCTCTGATTACCAAAAAGAAAAAAAGAACTAGAAATGGAACTATTGTTCAAGTGGTAGAGTGCCAGGCTTGGGCATATAAGATAAAGACCGGTGCTCAGGCCCTGAGTTCAAGCGCCAGTACCTACACATACATACACACAGGCCACAGAAGAGAATTGTTGTAAGGTGATAGACATTTGAAATAGATGGTTCAAGAATCGAGAAAGCTCCATTTGATCACCAAGGAAAAACTATAAGGAGACTAAGTAAGAGCTAGTGGTTTTTCCCAGATGCCTCTGTGAGATGGTAAAGTTGTTGATCAACATGGTCATAAATCAGCCATTTCTCAAGGTCTATGGAACCTTCCACCTGGAAGAACATGGTCTGTCCGCCGTTTTCACAGCTCCATGTTTATAACAAAAGAACACCTCGTGCAATGCCACGCAGTCTTCCCCAGAGGTTATGTTGATTGGGAGGTTTTAAGCATAGACACTAAAAGCCAGACACCCAGTGGTTCACATCTGTATTCCTACTCCGAAGGCTGAGATCTGACAATAGAGGTTCAAAGACAGCCTGGGCAGGAAGTTCAAAGCCAGTCTGGACAAGAAAGTCCGTGAGACTCTTATCTCCAATTAACCACCAAAAAGCCAGAAGTAGTAAAAGCGCTACCCTTCAGCAAAAAAGTTCAGAGACAGGCCTTGAGTTCAAACCCCAGGACTAGCACAGAAGGAGAAGGAGAAGAAGGAGAAGGAGAAGGAGGAAGATGAGGAGGAGGGACAACAACACACTAAATCATTATAGCACAGAACGTAAAGTTATTCAATTATTTACACATACTCTTGGCTCACCCATAAACCAGTGTTCCCAATGTATTTGCATGGGATGCAAGTAATACTCCATTCTCTAATGTATGTTTAGAGAAGAGTTTTGCTATCTAGTCAAAACACACACAAAAAAATTTAAACACCTTATGAAAACCATTGTCTCAGCTGGAACCTGGTGGCTCATGCCTGTAATCCTAGCTATTCAGGAGGCTGAGATCTGAGGATCGCTGTTCAAAGCCAACCCAGACAGAAAGGTCCATGAGACTCTTATCTCCAATAAACCACTCAGAAAACCAGAAATGGCTCTGTGGCTCAGGTGGTAGAGCGCTCGCCTTGAGCTAAAGAACACAGGGACAGTGCCCAAGCCCAGAGTTCAAACCCTATGACCAACAAAAGAAAGAAAAAGAAAGAAAGAAAGAAAACCATTGTCTCAAAACATAAGAAATCCATTTGCTCTTCAGAACAGTGAGCAGAGCTTTAGCACCCCAAAATGGAATTCTCCAATGAAACAATTACTCTGAGTCAAGTGAAGGATATGCCTTGCTTGTCTCCTGAGGCCTCTTGCAGCGTTGTTGAACATAAGCTCACCCTTTCCCTTTGTGCTATGGTTTTGCTCGAAGTGGCACCATAGCCAGGGTGTGGGGGACAGTTATTTAAAACATCCCTCTGACCCCACCTTGGTATGTTTACACAGGACTGTGTGAGATATAAATACAGATGTCAACATTAATTACCTTTACAAATACAAGGGGAGGTTTTTCTTCTACCTTGGTGTTTTATTTTGGGGGGGGTCAAAATATACACAAACATATCATAAATGTCGATGATAAAATGTAGGCATATTAAAGTTTATTTATGGTCTTTCAACCATAATAAAGAACAAGAAGATTTACAACATGATGAAGGTAAGATTAAATGTTCCCTACTTAAGATCACTTTAAGAAAATCCAAACGCTTACAATTTATGGATTCCACTTCCTCAAATTGCAGATAATAAGTGAGTTGTTAAACTTTATGCTATTTCTTTAAATAGCTACAAGTTCCTGATAAACAAACAAAAAATGTATTAAAGCAGATCGTTGATTAGTTGGCATGCAAATTGGATTTTTTCCCCCTAAGCTTTAAATTCCCAGTAATTCAAAACTAACCTTTATTTTCTTTTTGTTTTGTCAGTACAAGGGTTTCAGCTCAGGATTTCCTACTTGCTATGGCTCTACCACTTGAGCCATACTCCCAGATCTTTTTGTTTATTAGATAGGGTCTCACATTTTTACTTGGGATGAGCCTCAGACCACAATCCTCCTATAGCAAGTATTTGGGATTCTTAAGGTGAAGCATCATGCCTAGCTAGTTTGAGGTGAGGTCGTGCTAACTTGGCATGGCCCGGCCTGCAAGTGTGATCTTCCCGGTCTCTAACTTGTATTTAGGATTACAGGCATGTGCTACCACATACCCTGCCCCAAACTTTTTATTTTAAAAAGTCCAAATCTTAAGTCACAAGTCCATGTTCTCAAAGAAAACCTTTCCTCTTAAGTTCACACCCTTCTAGCTCGGGCCCACCTCTGTGAAGGAATTTTATAATGAGGGATTTGGATAGCTCAGCTGTTTTACCCTTGTATAAGGTTTTGTACAAAATGCAGGAGACTCACAAGCGCAGTCCACTAGAATAGTTGTTAATATGTATGGACACTGAATCCCACTGACTGAGTTCCTGAAATAGAGCTGAAGAACTGAATTTGTACTTCCATTTTATCTTCACCCATTTAAATGCCAACTGAAATTCTGATGTCTTTGTTTCAACCGTAAGCACAGTTTTGTTGATTTTATAGGAGTACGTTTTTACTTTCTTTTTCCAGTCTGGCTTTATTTGCCTTGCTTGTTCAGCTGACACTGTATAATTTGAACCATACCTCCAACCTAGACCTTTGCTGGTCAGTTGCAAAAGGAATCTTATAGATTTTTCTGCCCAGGTTGGCTTTGAACAATGATCCTAAGGAACTCAGCCTGCCAAGTAACTAGGATTATAGGCAAGAACTACCAGTGCTTGGATTTTTATGTTTTTAAATTTTTATACCAATTACATATTGAAATGATAGTATCTTCATCATGAATGATGATTACATTGACATTATGGTGATTGCATTAATGATGCTATTAGTGTCAACGCTTAATAGTTAACAGTTAATATTTGTGGTTAAGTAGCAGATATTGTTAAAAAAATTAATGTCCCATTTCTTTTCACTCTTCACTCCCAAGAAATCTGAGACTCATGTATGGCTGTACCATGCTTCTGTTGGGCTGCCAGGGTGAGCAGAAGGTTGTATTGATGGCATCCAGAGAGCTCCAGAACACCTTGAGTACTTAACTAAATATTACCTCAAACCAAGGAAAGACAGTCACTCTGAATCCACATTCAGACATCAGAAACTTGAAACATTGTAGCTCTTATCTTTTTTTCTCTCATTATGTACTAGCCAATGGATGTGTCCAACAAAACATCTTCTGGACTTCTGAAGATGAGTTGATAAATATTGGAAATACTAAAGTTGTTAGTAAGACAGGCATCTGCTTATGCAGGTCATCCTAGCTACTCAGGAGGCTGGGATCTAAAGATTGCAGTTCAAAGCCAGCCCAGACAGAAAAGTCCCCATGAGACTCTTATTTCCAATTAACCACTCAAAAACCAGAAGTGGCACTGTGGCTCAAGTGGTAGAACACTAGCCTTGAACATAATTAGGCTCAGGGACAGTGCCAAGGCCCTAAACTTCAAGTCCTACAACCAACAAAAATAAAATAAAATTGTTGGCCTACCATTCTACAGCACTAGAGTGTATTTAAATAAACTTTGGCCCATGTCAAAATGATCGATTAAATCCTTTCCTTTGCTACTGACCTCCAGCAAAGGAAATCTAGTGTATCTGTACAGAGCACAAAGTTTCAGGAAAAGCTGGGCTTTGCTAATGGAAGGCCCCCTCGCCACTTATATCTACAGATCAGTGTTGTCACATTACTCACAGGTCACTTGGTTCCAGAAAGATGAACCTGTAACACCACTAACGATGGCTTCCATTCAGCTCTTTCCAGCCACAGCCTAGCTCCTGTGCACAGCAACTCAAATGAAATGCTTTAGAATATCGTTGTTGGTTTTCTATATTTCTACCAACCCTGGGGAACTTACAACCTTGGTGAATTTCTGAAAGCCCAGAAGTTTAAGGCAGCAGAATCAAGGATGATTTCTACAGCTGTGCTCAGTTTAGAAGGAGACTGGGCAGACTGGGTACCACATGGAGATCCTAAGGGCAGAGGACCCAGGAGGCAGAATGCAGTAGGGAATGCAGAGTTTGCTCTGCACTCTGTGTGTCCCATCCCTTGAGTCAACTGCGTAGAATGCCTTGCAAGAAATGCATATGCTACTGGGACTGGGAAGGTGGCTCAGTGGTAGAGTGCTTGCCTTGCATGCATGAAGCCCTGGGTTTGATTCCTTAGCACCACATAAGCAGAAAAAAGCCAGAAGTGGTACTGTGGTTCAAATGGTAGGGTGCTAGCCTTGAGCTGAATCGCTGAGGGACAGTGCCCAGGTCGAGTTTAGTCCCCATGACCTACAAAAAAAAGAGAAAAGGAAAGAAAGAAAAGACAGACAGACAGACAGGAAGGAAGGAGGGAAGGAAGGAAAGAAGGAAGGAAGGAAAGAAGGAAGGAAGGAGAAAGAAGGAAAGAAATAGAAAAGCATATGCTGTGCATTACACTAATACCTCCATTGCTCGGGCAATGGAGTGGTATTTAGACAAGAAGTGGTATTATTTTTTTTTAATGAAACTAGTGGTGCTGGAAGCAGACTGGCAGTAGAGTTAATAATGAGAATTTCAGGAATCGGGAGCTGGACGGGAATTTCTGAGTGTTGGACTGCTTCAGAGCAATCTTCTTGCCAATTGTTCTCAGGCCTGCTCTCAGAATCTCTGGAAACAGAATGTAAACAAAACACTGGTAGGTTGGGTAATGGTCCCTTGTAAAGCTAGATCCTGCTTGAAAAAACCTTACTAAGCATAACTGGGCAATGTGATAGTTTATTTGGACCTTTTCAGCATTGTTGCAAAAAGGCTTCATATATCTTTGTTAGGTAACCTTCCCTGCTTGTCTCTCCAGTTTGACAGGCAGCTCATCAAAGTCTTCAGTAACCAAGGGGCCGAGGGACCTGGCATAGGCTCTGTCTACTGATCCTATTCCATTTCCCAGTACGAAACAAACAATTGAAGAATCCATGTTCCTTTTTTCAACTCCTTATACTTCTTTTAGCTTATAGATCTAGCATAGACTAGTAAGAGGGGACTTAAAATGGGAATTGAGTAAATCAGAAGACTTAGAGACATCGGTGGCTTATCTAACTACAAATGTCAAATACTGGCAAGCTCTAACACAGAGATTAAATATAGAGACTAAACCTATATTATTTCTTCCGTGGACATGGAGCTTGAGGGAAAGAAAAACTTTATAAGAAACCACAGAATGTTCCATTGCTCCAGAGCTCTTTCTCCTGGGTCAACTTAACTGGCCTGTGAGTCAATGGTCCCTTCTATTTCTTTTATGTCTAAATTTCTGAAATTCTCATCACCAAAACTGTCTGTCTTCCTCCAGTAAAGTTGTGTTTTCTTTGAAATTGGCCTCATGCCAAGAAAAAGGTTTGGAAAAAGCAGTGATTTCTATACATTATTAGATGCAATTAAGGAAAAAGACTGTGAAAAGAAATAGCCTTGGTCTTAATTTGCTCTTATAGCAGATTTACTTAGGCTCCAGAATCCATTGGGACCATTTTGAGTCCTTGAAATGGATTTCTTCAATCTGTGAGCCATGTGTCTCATCTTTAAAGCATTTCAGGCAGGTAACTGCACCACCATGGTGGAAATGTGTCAGATGAAGTAGGGTTGATGCTAGCAGAAAACATTTTCAGGCAAAGGAAAGTGGTACAATGGTGGGTAGATTGCCACCAGCCTTTTCTTCACTGCAAACATCCATCCAAGACCCTACCCAGCACTGTTGTCAATGTGGAATGATAACTGGTCTTGCTACTTGGTTGATTCTTGTTTGGTCTAGACTGAAATGTTATTCGAGGGTTAGCAAAGCAAGTAGATAAAGGCCTGATCATTTCTACCACCCAGAAGAAGTGGGTTGAGATGGGAGGGGCAATAAAAAACAGAAGAAGTAGAGCGGAGCCTTAGGAGCATCCTCAATCCAAGATGAAAATATCCAGACATCTCAGGCCAGGACCGGTTCCAACACCACCACTGGATTTCAGTCACGATTTCCTCCTTTGCTGATGGGTGGGTGAGGATTGTGGTCTAGAGTTCTTGGCCATGTGTCAGAATTGGAATCATGAGCCTTCCAACCAACACACTTAAAGATGAGGAACACAGAGACCAATTTGAAGGGGCGATGTAAGCTACTCTGTTAAAATCAGAGATGCTGGCATTGGTGAATAACATGCAGGTCCAAAAAAGCTCCCTCCTTGGTTTTGCTTTAGCACATTTAGGTTCTTTGCAGCTGCTTGGAATAGATAAGCAAGAGAGGTTCTTCTGCTACCTACCTGGAGATAAAGGTGTGAGTCCTAGACACCGACCACCCAGCCCCTTTGGGCTGGTCTCATTCTCTTTACTGTGGGGAGTGACACTGGCTCACTATCCAGATGTTTACTTCAGTTCTGCACCTGGATATTGAATTTAGGATTCAAGGTAGCTCCAGGATACACCAGGACAGGGTTCCCTTTACACATGTAATGTCAACCTCAGTAATAACCAGAGGTTCTCCAATGGATGGTATTTACTTGGAAATAGATTCAAATTACACTGGGAATCCACACGTCCTAGTAAACTATAAGTATATTCAGAGAAATTGAGTCAAGGGAAAAACCTGAAAGACAAAAGAAAAAAATGAATGGCATATTTTGAAACAATAATCCCTAGCTAGTTAAGGATTCATTAGAGGATAAAAACCATTCTGAAACTGAGCAGGGAAGAGCGGGGATAGATGAACGGGGAGACACAGATTTTTGTTTTAGTTTGTTTGTTTGCATAAGGTTGCAGTGGCCTTTGTGCAAGATTGAGAAGTTGGTCGAATGTTTTTTAGTAGTTCCTGTGAAGCAGTCACGCATGCAAACCCTTCCTTTACAGTCTCCTGGCTTATTACCTAAATTTCTCGTTAAGTTGAACACAGGCAACTTCACTTTTGCTCCTGCCAACTTCCACATGCAATTCCTTCCAGAAAATGTACACTGCTTTGTCTCAAGTTCTAGGCTTTCGTTCACTGACAAGGCTAGAGATAAGGCAACCTGATGGTGACATTAATTAGTGGTATGAATCACTCAGTTCCTTGGGGTTCAATTTTATCATCCACAAAATGAAAGGATTAAGTTCGATGATTTCTGACAGCCTTCAGACTCAGGGTTTCTGGCTGCTCGTAAGTTCAACTCCTGATGGAGTCACTGAGCCACATGAAGGGACATGTATGAAGAGTCTACTTTTAGCTATTGGCACCATAAAGATCCTGCCCAACTTAAGGCTCCTGCTGTCCAGTTTGCTGGCTGGTTTGGCCATCCACCACAATTCTATTCAAGAGTTCCTGTAGGAAAAATCCAACCACTACCAAGTGTCTTATCATTAAATATTTTTTAACCCCATCTGCAGAACCTGGGACTATGCTTGTGTTTAAGAGCCCATATTCGGGTACAATTCAGTTTTATGGACATGATTGCAAATATTTACGTGGATCTTTTCCTAAGGAACCCCCAGTATTATACTGGCAACGACTGCTTTATTTCACCAAATAGCTTTCGAATGAGAACTCATTTGCTTTGTTTTCATTTCAGATTAAGACATCCGTTATCTGGGCAACCCCAAATGTTTCCTTCTCCATCCCATTATGGGTCATCATACTAGCCATACTGCTGGGATTGTTGGTTCTAGCCATCTTAACCTTAGCTTTGTGGAAGGTAAGTAGTTCTTTCATTTTCCTTTAAAACTGGAGAGGTCATTGAAGGCAATACTAAAGGCATAATTTATAGATTTTTTTTTTGTTGGTCATAGGGCTTGAACTCTGGGCTTGGGCACTGTCCCTGTGCTTTTCAGCTCAAGGCAAGCGCACTACCACTTGAGCCACAGCGCCACTTCTGGTTTTCTGAGTGGTATTGTTATACCCAAGTCCCAGAGACCCTCCGACAACCACCGAAAGACCAGGCAACCCGAACTGCAAAATGCAAGGTTTATTTAACAAGCCAAGGCTCAGGCCTCGTCCCGTACCCCCAGACACAGCAGAGGAAGCGAGGGGGCCCCAAGCAACAGTATAGCTGGGCTTATAAAGGCAAAAACCACAAAATTACAGCAATGCTATGGTTTAGGGACAAGTTCTATTCTAATTGGTCAGGGACCAGGTGTCTGCTTAAGCCATCGAGGTTGACATCTCCTGTGGTTAATCTTCTGCTGACTGGGTCTCGAAACCATCCTGTTCTGTGGTGTTCTGCAATCTTTAAATAACAATTCCCAAAAATTTTGCACAGACATGTTATTGTTTAATTCATTTTTGCAACCTTTGCAACATTAACTCAGAACAGGAATGAGGGACTGACACAAGTTAACTTTTAGAAGTTGTCACAAAATGGCTTTAGTTTGGTTCTTACAGTTTATTGGAGATAAGAGTCTCACAGACTTTCCTGCCCGGGCTGGCTTTGAACTGTGATCCTCAGATCTCAGCCTCCTCAATAGCTAAAATTACAGGTGTGAGCCACTGGCACCCAGCTATTTATAGATTTTTTTTTAAGATCTGAAAATTGTGTGCTAGTTGCTTTGACATATTTAATATGTCTTGTGTTGCTAGTGTTTAAGAAGACTGGGGAGGTGCATTTGTTTTTTTTTTTAACCTCATGATATTTTTGTAGTTCTGGGGATTGAACTCTAAGCCAGTGTTCTTCCACTGAGCTATATCCCCAGCTCTCATTCTTTTTTTTTTTTTTTTTTTTTTTTGCTTATGTGGTGCTGGGGAATCGAACCCAGGGCCTCATGCATACAAGACAAGCACTCTACCACTGAGCCACCTTCCCAGCCCCAGCTCTCATTCTGAGATTTCTTGTAAATAAAAAATCAGGGTGGGTGAAGTTATTAGCTAAGGCCTGTGACTTTTTTTCCAGTATGCTGGGAGTGATCTTGTTATTAGGAAGATTTTTCTCTCTGGTTTAATTAACCAAGATCTTAAGCTTTCTATGACATGGTCTATCACAAATCCTTTGAGATTTGTCTTTATAAGCACTGCACCAATGCAATTAATATAGGTCAATTCTAATTTTTTATTTCGACTATGAATTAGGCCAACAAGATCATACATGTTACAAGAGGCTCAGACTTATTTTGTTATCTTGCCAAATAGTCAGTCTTTATTAGGAAGCTTTAATGTGTTCTTTGATGTGTTCTACTGAGGTTTGTCCTAAGTTCACAACAAGAATGAATTTCTGGTGACAACTTGAACTCTTGCCAGGTTTCACAGAGACTTCCATTCCAAAAATAGAAAAGATGTCACAAATATGTGGCTATAAGTACAATTAACTCAGTCACATCTCAGCTAACCGCCATTGTTGTGGGTCCCTAACAACATGGTATGTTTTTGTTTTGAAACAATAGGCAACATACTTAACAGAACTTGAAATTGAGAAAACCTTGGCTTTGAATAAGAATAGTTTTTCTAATTGTAACCCATTCACACCCTTTTAAGCCCACAGTCACTTAGAAATGACTTTTTGTGTGTTACTTTGTGACTTACTCCAATTGGCAGGAGATAGAATTATATGTGCCAATATGACACACAATAGTGAGCAATGCAGCTCTCCAAAATAAAAAACAAGCAAAAAAGATGATTCAGGTTTCTAAGAAGATTTTCTCTGGGAAAATACAAATCGAATGAGGTAGAAGCTTCTAGAATCACTTCTTATAAGAATGGCTGGTTAATCATTGGGAAATCACTAGGATGTCTGGCTGACTGATTCTGTCACTGAAATACACATATACATATTATATATACATAATATATCTCTCACCAAGCACAAAAAGATCAACAGTTGTACTCTTACTATAATTCATCCCACGCATGCTGCCAGCTCAGCAAAATATGCAAAAAGATGATAAAAATAAAACCTAGAAGGAATTGCTGAGACACACTGCAGTCAGCCCTGGAAAACACCCAAAGTCTGTGAGTGCTTTGTGTGAAATTGGGGCACTGTCCCACCACCAATCAATCATGGCAGGAGGAAAGGCACCAATGCACCACCATTCTGTCCTCCTTGTTCATCCTGCCCACCGTGCCCTGGAGCAGATAGTACAAATGACATACACAAAGCTCCACGCTCCTTAGCAAACAAAGTGGGAAAATGGGGTGCCTCACAAGTTTCTCCTCTGTTTCCTGCTGTTTTTTTTGTAGTGTGGATTCTTTGATAGAGCAAGACCTCCTCAGGATGAAATGGCGGACAAGGAACAGCTGACCAGCAGCAAGACCCCGGAGGCATAACAGGGGAAAAACAAAAGACCAAAAATTCAAACACTGGTCCCATTGAAAGAAAAGGAAGGACATAAGGGCTGTATAATAAAGGCTTTCCTATACCTGCCAGTGACCTAGGAAGCAAAAGAGCCCCTGACAGGATCGCATCATCAACTCCATCCATTGAGGACATCGCCATGGAATCCAGAGAGGCCTGTGGAGAGAGAGAAACCCCCAACATGATGGAAATAATCAGATCAGCAATTATGGAAGATTTCTCTGGTTTTTGTCATTCCATATTTGGCAGACATTTTTGGACTAGATATCTGAACTTAGAACTTGCTGTCCAGGTTAAAAGAAAAAAAAAACACAAACCTGAGTTGCAAAGATGAACTGTCTGAATTCCTATAGAATTTAGAAAGTGAACAAAGACTGAACAACTGTCCAACACTACTGTATCCAATGGAATTTCTGACACCTCCCTATGGAACAGGAACATTGGTAACGATGGATGATGACTCAGGGAGACAAAGCAATATGTTGTTGGTACTGTGAAAAGTACTTTTGAAAACAACACAGATAATTTTGTGTGAGGATTTTTTAGAAAAAGATTATTTATTTATTTTCCATTTGTCTAGAGTTGAGATTCTCTGCTTGTCCAGAGAACTGGGAAATTAAGATTTGGTTCGCTAGTTTTCAACATCACTCACTTTGTGTCATGCTAAGGTAGCTACTTTGTGCAGATAACTTTGTGTTTGAATAGAGTGTCTTCCAAATTTAGATAGTGTCAAGGAGAAACAAATTAGTATTATGTCAGTTTTGTTTGGTACTTTGCTGCCTTCTACCTGGAATTAGTTTTATTCATATTTTCCAGGAACTCACATCTGCTCAATTTAACTTCACAAAACATTGTATTTATATTTCCTTTTATATATGCAAAAAATTCAAGGTACTCAATGCCCAGTGTGATTTTTAAAAGTCATTTAAATTTGTAGAGTTCATATAAAAAAACTTAACAATATGGTAAACACTCCTTTTAATATATACAACAAGCAACACCAATATTTAGCTTGGGATTAAATATCTGTTTTCCTTTCTATACCCCATATTTGTATACAAGAAAAAAATGTTAAGCATAAACAAGATAGAAATACAAAGTTATACAGGTGTGACACAAAACTATATTCCTAAAAATTTTATTTAGAATTGCTAACACCAACTTTATTACTCATTTTTTACACTAATCTTTCTAGGAAATAACCTGGGAAAATAGATAATCTTTTGTTTAAGCTATTTTTTCATCAGCTTTAACTCTTGAAAAATTTGTTAAGGCTCTTGTAAATAATCTATAATCATGTTTTATATTGCCATTTTGAAGTAAAATTGACCAGTCAAATTTATAGTCTGCACAATTTTGTATCCTTTTTATAATGATGAAAAATTGCTATGAAGAAATGCTGAACAAAATTGTATGTGCAATATTTTATAGACATATGTATCTGAGGCATGTTTACACTGGCATTAGTTATTTTTAAATTAATATCCTGAATATTAATTCTGATAGAAAAACCTGACCCACATCCTTAAGTTTACATAGCAGTTGGAAAAAAATCTGTGTCCCAATTTCAACAATCATGCTTTATTTGAAAGATGAGCCAAACTCACAGACACTAAATTTTATGCTGTGCCTTTAACCTGGACAGAAGCCATTTGGCTTCAGCTGCAAAAACCCATTGGAAAGCAAACCAAAGGCACATGGATGAGCACATTGTTGTAGTTCATTGTCTGTCTGCTTCTGAATTAAACCCATTCTGGAAGTTGTTGACATGTCTGTCAGGAGCTCAAGTCTAACTTCCAGTGTGTGTTGTCTGATAGCTGATGAGCCATGCACTTGATTCAAGAGTTTGAGAATCCCACACTAGCCCCTGAGGACCTTAAGTGTTAGCCCTCTTAGATAGAACCAGTTGTATAAGTCAATGGTCATCTATATGATATGATTTAAGGGATACTAAAATGCCTTCTCTACCCTCTAAAAATGCCCTAACTCTTGTCGTGCCTGTCTTATGACCAAAAGATGAGTAACTCAGGAGTTAGAGTCATAAAAATGTCCTCCTTACTTCTTGAAAGAACTCAACTCTCAATTCACTCTTCTGGAGTGAGCTAGAAGTGTCAAGAGACAGATAGAGCAAAGAATAAGGGCTTCAAATGCCAACCACACTCTCAGACAATAAAGGTTCTTTCTGGAGGTCCCCGCTGTATATGGGGCATTGCATGGGACATTACACACATGCATATAGCAGCCCTCTACCCCTTGGAATGTGGGGGTGATGGAGGGAGGGAGAAACTTGAGGTCAGTGATTCGTCCAGAAGCCATTCCTCTGGCATTTCTCCCATCTACACAGAAAACACTGACAATGCACTGAGTATGTCATAACTATCTTTGCTGAGTTCTTTCATAAGTCCTAATGCACTGGGCTCCTTCTCAGAGCCTATCTGTATTTCTTTTCCCAGAATTCCCTTTCCAATTCTTGCAGCTGATTTTTAAAACATGGGGAAATGGGAGAATTAAGTTTTATAAACTTGGAGAATGTTATATAGCAAATAAATAATGTACTAGGCACCCACTGAAAACTTATACTAGAACTCAATTCTTGTTTTTATTTAAATACATGTATAGAGATCTGTGAAGATTGTCACATACCTATTTACCTGGTCACTAATAAAATTAAAAATTAAAGACATAATGGTATATTTATGGTTTATTTCACTTACAATGTAAAGTCTTCCCATAAGAGCCAAATGTTAAAGATTTTTTACCTGGAGTTTACCAGAAAAATCATGTGACAAGGGGAAACATTTGCAAGAGCAAAATTTCAGTTCTCCTTGGGGTGATGAAAATGTTCTAGATTTAGAGTATGGTAATGGTGAGACAGTCTGTGACCATTCCTCATGAATCCTAGTTAAAAATAGGCACAGGAAAAAATATTCTATAAAACTATCAGCCAGGTGTCAGTGGCTCACATCTGTAATCCTAGATACTCAGAAGGCAGAGTTCAAAGCCAGCCCAAGCATGAAATTCCATCATATTCTCAACTCCAATTAACCAAGAAAGCCAGAAATGAATCCGTGGCTCAACTGGCAGAGTGCTAGCCTTGAGCACAAAAGCTCAGGGATAATACCCAGGTCCTGAATTCAAACTCCAGAACTGGTGCACGCACACACACACACACACACACACACACACAAGATCTATTTTGAGGCTAGTTTAAAAATTGTAAATGGGACATAAGTGAATTCTATGTTTAGATAGGGATCTAATTCTCCAGATATCTTGTTGTGTAAATGTTAATATTCTAAAATATGACCAAAATCTTTTGGTCCTAAGCATTTTTATAAGGCTATTCAACCTGTACAATAAGTACACAATGTGTGCTAGTCAATTAGTGAAACCTTTGCTTATTCAATACTCTTTTATTTGGGAAAAAAGTATCATGTATTAAGGATAGTACTCAACTGAATCATATGTGAAGCTTTTTTGCCAGTCCTGGAACTTAAACTGAGAGCCTGGGCACTGTCCCTAAGCATCTTTTGCTCAAGGCTAGCACTGTACCACTTGAGCCACAGTAGCACTTCTGGCTTTTTCTGTTTGTGGTGGTATTGGGGAATTGAACCCAAGGCTTCATGCATGCTAGGCAAACACGATACCACTAAACCATATTCCCAACCATGAGACTTATTTTTATTTCACCAAAACTTTCTAAAAGTGAGATCGCATGCTCAAAGTATATGCAAATGTTTGTATCTCTTGATATTTACCAGCCATCCAGTACAGTCATGTCCCATAAGACAGTTAAATACTAGCCACTTCCTTGAGTAAGATTCAGGAATTATAATGAAAAAGATGTATGTACATCTGGGTTTTTTCCCTGCTGCCTAGAACAAGCAGTAAGCTGAATACTTCATTGAATAGTGTGTCACTCACACATCAAAAGCTAAGTAAAGGCTTCTGGAGCCTAGGGATGCCTGTGCATCCCAGAGAAACATATGCAAAAGCCAAATTTAGGATTCAGTGGTGGTAGTGCTGCTGCTGCTGCAAACCAAAATGGAAACATCCAACCCAATACCTGCACAAACTAGTCTGCAAGGGGCTACATTTAGCCTGAGATGCTCAGAGAAAAACTCCATCTTGGTCCAGCCCCACTGGCAAAAGTTTACACACACACAATGAGGGAGGAAATCTTATCTGCTCTTTCCTAAAAATAAAACACACATTGGAAAGGAGATCTCAGCCATCTTAACTTGTGTTGATATCTTGCCACTGCCCACCGTAGTAGATGCAGACACTTAACTGCACTAATGCTTTCACCCTTACAACCCCTTACAGAATTTTCTCACAAGGGAGAATTTTCTTAAGGTCTTGCATAATCTTTCTGTGAAATCTGCACCCTATCCTCGGGTTACTTCTCCAGAAAGAGCATTCTGGTGCCCTCAGGAAGTGCCCAAACATACAAACCTTTGAACTTCATGAATGCCAAGACTCCCTCCCTAAGGTCTACTGTTCTTTCTACTATAACAGCTTTTTCTCCTGCAGAACTCTTGATTACATTAAAATGGTGATTTCTTTAGCATGAGAAGTTTAAAGCATGAAACTTTAGACTCATTTGGGGGCTGAAGAAAAAACCATAATTTCCCCAGTGACACTTAATTCGGCAGCAAGTTCACCATGGCCAGTGTGCAGAAGGTCCAAATGTTTGCCATTTTCAGCTTTCCCCACTCCACCTCCAAAATACCATCTGCTCGACACACTGCCTTTGGAATTGTTTATGAGCAAGTGCTCTGTTATTTATGATTGTTGGCCAAAATCCATATGGAAATGTAGCCTGATACCAGGGCCTCTTGACAATAAAAAGCCTTGGATTTAACTTTTATCGGCGCCACAATACGACACAGTAGGGAATGTTCTTAATATCTGTGTTCTTGCTTATTTTGGTTGTGCACTGTTGTAGACGCAGCCAAATCATCAGCGAATTGTCCTGCTCCCCATCCATTAGGTGAGATTGTTTTCAAACTAGTACCAGTGGATTTCCCTGCTTTTGAAGTATTGGTTTTCAACTTTTATGCACTTAAAGAAGTGTAGGGACATACATATTCATATAATTTACAGTATTTATAATTCCTTATAGAAATGTTCATTTATCAATCCTCTGCTTTAGTTTCCTAAGGCTATCATGATGGTTGTCTAGTCCTTAAGTCCAAAGTCCAAGATTAAGGTGCTGGCAGACAGAATTGCCAGGGAAGGGTCTATTTCCATACCAGTCTCCACGTTCGGGTAGTCTCATGTTTCCCTTGGCTTGTAGATGTAGCATGCCCCATATCACCTCCTCCTGAGTGTCCTCCCTGCATGTTCTCCCATTATCTTTCTCTTTCCTCTTTTTGTCATCTTCCACCTTTTTTATAAAGAGCAACTTCCATTGAATTAAGGTCCACCTCATGTTCTCATTTTAACTTGATTCCCTCTGAAGAGGTGCTTTTCCAAAGACATATTTTGAGATGCTGCATGCTAAGACTTCAAAGTATCTTCTTGCAGGGGTAAAACTCATCTCATAATATCCTCCTTGAGGAGTATCTAATCTTATAAGACAATTTGACCCAATTGAACTCACCAGATTATATCCTTTGTTGGGCAGACAAACTCGGGATGAAGAAACATATTCAAACTAAGGATAGGCTGAAACTTTTAAGGAATATCCATACCATCAGTGTTTTGAATTGTACACTCCCAGATAAGATGCTAGGGACATCAAGCACATAGATTCATAATTATGTATTTGTTTTCTCTCTATTTACTACCCTCCTGCCCATCTTGAGAATTTCATTTTTATTTAACTTACTCATCTTCTCTATTCTTCTCTGAAGTCTCTCACCACTATCACCTACATTGTCAGTCTCTACTTTCTTTTTCCCTGGAAATAACTATCTGATTTCATGTCAGTGAGGAGAATTGTGAGTTTCATGATTGCTACAATCATCTCTTACCTCTTCCTGTTTCCCCTGTGTTGCTTCCTGGTTTATGATGGAAGTGGTTTCACTCTACTACATTCTCCCCACCATGGCCAGCTGATAACCCTCTCCCTAGAATCCACAAGCAGTGGTCACTTAATTATGGACTAGACCCTCCAAAACTCTAAGCCAAATGTACCTTTTCCAAGTTTATCCTCTCAGACATTTTTTTGGGGGGGTCCGGTCGTAGGGCCTGAACTCTGGGCCTGGGCGCTGTCCCTCAGCTCTTCAGCTCAAGGTTAGCACTCTACCACTTGAGCCACAGCACCACTTCCGGCTTTTTTTTCTGCTTATGTGGTGCTGAGGAATCGAACCCAGGGCCTCATGCATGAGAGGCAAGCACTCTACCACTGATCCAACTTTCCAGCCCATCATCTCAGACATTTATGTCCTAGTAACAGGAAGTTGACTATTAGAGTGATGTGAGCGGATTCCCCACTGGTTGGGAAACAAACAACTGTAGACACTTGTCAATGGGAAGCTCTAGAGCCCTTGGCTTTCAGTTCACAGGAAACAAGAAAATGCAACAAAGATAACTACCTCCTCTGGGTATATGGTATGTGCAGCACTGAGCCACACATTTCATGGTAGAGGGAGAGTTAACCAAACAATAAAGGTAGGTTGCTCAGTGCCACAGAGCGGAGGGAGAGCTGCTTGGCCACAGGCTGGGCCGATCCACCGTGCTCACCTTCTCTCATGCCCCAGCTCTTGGCCGTCCCCACCACCTTCCTTCCAAGTACTTATCAGGAATTTCCATCATTTTGCATGCAGTGGGCAGCTCAGGCTGCAGCTGGAGAACACTAAGCATCTCCCTGGAGCCAATGGGCTCTCTGCCCACACTTATGCGCAAGAATGTGTCTGAGCCCAGGAGCCCTGGGCATCAGCTATACTGACTGCATTTCATTACAGAGAGTAAACACCAAGAATGGGAGATGCTTTGACAGGTCATGTAAGGAACAGTTAAGAGACCTGAGGCTGTTTAACCTAGAGAATAGACTGTCTCCGTGAAATCGAGATAAGGAACCTTCTCTGGGCACATGTTATTTGGCACTGGGCCATGCCTTTATGGTAAAAGAGAATTTACCCAACATAATGGCAGGTCCTTCAGTGTCCCAGAAAGGAGTATCTGGGGGGTCTGTTTTGATTGTGAGAAAAGCTCTTTTCTATCAAAGCAGTTTGCTTCCTTTCTGTTAGTCTTAAGAGAATGGTTTTCAAAGAATTCCTGTTTTGGCCAGGTGGCTTGACCTTCATTAGTTACATTTTAGTTACATCCTTTTTCTGAGCACATAATGAAGGCATTCTTGAATGAAGCTCCTTGAATTTTAGTTGCATCCTGTTCATTAGGCCATATCCTTTTGCACCCTTTCCTGAATCCTCGCTCAGCCAATATGAGCAGAAGGGCGGGGCCTGCAGAATTAAGGCTAAAAAGGGAGCAGCCTGCCTGCTCTGTGTGCTTGCTTGCCAGATTCTTGGTTGATGGAGCACCCTTCTACAGAAGTCAAGTTTGCCTTGCCAAGTTCCTTTTTTTTTTTTAATTTTTGTCGGTTGTAGGGCTCAAACTCTGGGCCTGGGCACTGTCCCTAAACTCAGCCCAAGGCGAGTGCTCTACAGTTTAAACCACAGAGCCACTTTCAGTTTTCTGGTGGTTAATTGGAGATCAGAGTCTCTTGGAGGGCTGGGA